AGATAGATAGAAGATAGATAGATAGATAGATAGATCTATCTAGCTAAATACATCAACATTATTCCCCTGACACATCCGAAACGACATCACAAGCTTTTACAATGGAATCCAGGAAATCATGATCTCTAAAGACGTGCAACAAAGTACTTTAAGAATCCTAGCAATCTCGGATGAGAGATTAAATATCTCTGAACTTAGAACAAATACAAAGAAACTGCTCCTGTGAAGAAATTGGCATCAAGGACCTCTCAATACACATGACTCTATTACCCTTAAATAGTAGGTTGGATTGTCTAAGGCCAGAACTTGAATCGAAAGCAATCGAAATAGGTACTTGTTGGATTTAACAAAACTAGTCTATGGACTTTTCTAGGGCTATCAATCAATGTTAAAGAGTTAGAGACAATAGAATAATCAGGCATTGTCAAAAGAATATATTCTTTGAGACTATATTATAGTCTCAAACAAAAAACCGAGAACTAGGAGCATTTCTGGTTGCAATTTGTGTGATCTTCTAGGCTTTTGTCAGAGTAATATATTGGTTTTTTACAATTCTCTACACACTCTTTTAAAGGAAATTAAAATAGACCACATGTAGTACAACACATGGTTGTACATAACCCTAATTTTTCTAAACTAAACTTTAAATTATACATAGAGTTAGACTTAAACTTATTCGATTAAACATTCAGTACTTTTTTTCTTTGTCCTGTAATGGGACAAGCAACTTTAAACAATTTTTTTAAGATTTGTGTTTCCTTTTGTAAAGAATTACAATATAATCACCATCTACTACATCATTCATGATTGGATATGTACTTGGCAAGTAGAAACCCCCTTCAATGTTAGTTATTAATACGTATTTCTAATAATCTTTATGTCTACATCAAAGTCTAGAAGATAACTTTAAACCGGTAAAAAAAACGTTAACCAATAATATTTGCCTTCAATTTGCAAAATTTACTTATTTATTTTGTTCTATAATAAAGAAATATTTTCGTTAAATACATAGCAATTTTTTAAATTCAAATTAATAGTGGTCAATTCTTTAAATAAAAACAACAAATATTTTCTAGAAAAAAATTAAACAACAACAAATAAATAAAACAAAAACATAACTCTCTAGTATGACCTCCTCCCCACAGCACATGAACAGAATACGTACAAAAAATATATTTTTTTATGTGATTTCATCACATTTTTATGTAAACGTCACTAAAAAAAAACGCTGATAAAAAAAAACTTAAGGAAATGAGTACTAATTACCTTTTTAATATTGGTACGGGATCAAAGCCCGATGTAGTATGTTTTGATTCCCAAAATTGTAAGACTTGAGCCATATCTTTTTCCTCTAAATTGGGTTCAGATTCATCGAAGCCATAAAATGGATCAGCAGCTGCTGCTCCATTGTCATCATCTTCAGCATCTGAGTTTTGATTTTCACCATCTGCTCCTTCGGCTTGGGCATCTTCATTTGCCGCGGCGGCATCTTGATTTTCATTATTATCATCGTTTGGCTGTTCTTGCTGTTGCTGCTGCTGTTGGTCATCAATTTCCATATTTACCTGCTCCTCCTGTTGCTCTTCTTGTTCATTTGCCTGCTGCTGCTGTTGTTCTTCACCTCCTCCACCAGCTTCTGCTTGTGGTTCGGGTAATTGCTCATTGTTATCGTTTTGTTGTTGTTGTTGCATTGGCAATTCTTCTCTATTGTTTGTCATTGTTTTTGTTTTAGCTGTTGTTGTTGATACGTTTTTTTTTGGCTTTTTATTACTAAACACTTTTATTTTTTTCAATTCCTCTTTGATTATTCGTTTCTAACCTAACACTTGTTTAGCAAATTTTCCACTCTTTCTTTTTCGTTTTTATATCCGTAATTTGTTTTTTGGTAGTTAAAAACAATTTCAACAATTTAAGAAATTCTTTGCTTTAATCTTGTTACTTATAATTTCCGTAAATTGTACAGTTTTTCTTCATAGATTGGATTTGCTTGTGTTTTTTTTTTTCTTGGCAGTAGACACGTTTTAATTGTGGATTTTTTTTTGCGTTTCCGATGCAATTGTTCCGTTGTTTTCTTTTTACTTGCAAATTGTTATCACTCTTTTTTGTTACAACACTTTGCTTAAATTAGTTATTAACATCAAAACGAAAAAGTACAATTTTCGTATTATTATTAAATTTTTTTGGAAAATTAATACAAATTGCAAAATTTTTCTTCTTTCGACTTTCTTTCAAGTTTTTCGTCGTTTGTCTATCAAACGCACGCGAAGCTCTGCGCCGACAAATATTAACGACCGTGGCGGCTGACACTAAATATGCCTACTGTAAGCCGGCTAAGTTTTTAATTATGTTTAGTTTTTAAATTTTCAACGATTTTAAATAAAAACGGATCCGAGAGATAAAAAAAGTGGGATTTTGGAAGCATATACATCGAACGTTGAGTAAAGTTTTACACCGGCCAAATTTCAAGCCGTATTAAGCTGAAAAAATTTCGGCGGCGGAGGCAGCTTAGAAATTTTGTTCGGCGGCTAGGCTTAAAGCTTTAAGTCGAATCGACGCGGTTCTCTGAACGCACGCGCTTCTTTTTTTGCATCAAATTCCGCTACATAGACAAGAGCCAACAATGATTAACGACGTCATCGGCTGTCACTACAAATTTCGGCGGCGATTTAAAATCGTTATTAAGCCAGTTTTTAAATTTTCAACGATTTCAAATAAAAACGGAATCCGAGAGAATAAAAAGTTTAATTTTTGAGGCAAATATTAAAAAAATCGGAAATGTCTGCAAGAGTAGAAAATTTTTGTATTCGTGAATACTATTTTATTTTTTTCTCTCGTTATACAACTCTTTTTCACGAGATTTACTATTTTTACTACATATTTTTATTACAAATTCTCAAAATTGTATATGTATATTAGTTTGTCATTCCGCTTGGAGTTACTATGAAGTAATTTTCCGATCCTATAAAGTACATATATTTATTCTGGTTCCTTTTAAATATCGCAGCCGGTTAAGACATGTTTGTCTGTCTGGCTGTTGAAATAAATTTTCGGGATCAAAAATTTCAATAATTTTGTCAGACATACTTTCGAGAAGTTTTCTCTTTAAATCCAACAAAATCGGTTAATAAGTAACGAAGATATGAGAAAAAAAACTTATACTATCTCTGAAAATTTAATTAAAAATTTCATTTTTTGGTGAACGTTTAGACAAAAATAATTAACAACAACACATGGCATAATATGATAACATGTAAACAATAACAACATTTGACAGAAAGTGCACTCTACACAAAAATAAAAAAATTAATCAGTTATATTGCAGTCACCTTTTTTATTTTACAAAGGTATAAATAAAGAAAATACGGTAACAGTGTAATAGAAATCGCTAGAATATTCTCTGTGCAGCTACATTGGCCTAAAATCGCTTATTGTTAAAAAAAGCAGCCAATTAACATCACTTTTTCCTTTTATGATAAACAGCTGGCGATGACGTTTTACTATTTTTTACACTGCAGTAAATTATTTATACCGCTTTAATATATCATGTATTTACAAAATAATTTAAATATAATAAAATAAACGAATACTAGCCACTTATGTTAATAATTATTACATAAATGTGTAAAAATCTCAACCAAAAATAAATCATTTTGACAGCTATACATAGCAACAAAAACGAATACGTAAAAGACTAAAGACAAAATTTGGACAGGTGAAAATAAACAAAAAACAACAACAATTACAGCTACAAAAAAGAAAACAATTTAAGGCAATTGGGTGGATAAAAATGGGTTTCATGTATATTTAAGTTGGATAGCGTTAATATTACAAATTATATTTGTAACCATATCAATAGGTAAGTTGTAATGTTAAAAATATGAAACAGGCTTCTAATTGGATTAAACTTTTGTATATTTTAGCGGGCCGGTTTATATTATATTGCAGAATGGTAGAGGAATATACCAGTGCGGCACGCAAGGTTATCATGATGATGATAGTTTCACCATGTTTGTTTATACTATGTTTATATTCTGTGATGATTTACCCTGGAGCATGGTGGCCATGGGTTTTGTTACACAATTCCTTCATTTAGCCATAATGAGTAATTTTCCTTTTATTAAATTCCTATCGTTATCCTTTATTGGTACAGTGGTGTGTTTAATAGCAAATCATTTGTTGGCCTTTCAACATTTTACCTCAGTATATTATCCATTTACTCAGGTTTGTTTTAAAACGTGAAACAATTTTATGAATTTATTAATTCCATTCTTTTACTTAACAGATTTTAGCTTATTTTACCATTTGCTTGTGGATGGTACCATTCGCTCTCTTTGTTTCCTTAAGCGCTAATGATAATGTTCTGCCCACCACTATTAGTGATAGTGATCATCATATGGGTCAAGATGTTGTTAGTAATTATTTTTCACGCGGCAAGAAACAGGGTCTTTTATCACTATTCAATTATGTTAAGGACTCTATAATGCCGGGACGAAATAAAAAATCGTTTTGAATTCTCGTTTATTTGAAATATTTTTTTGGATGTTGACGCTAAACATCAGCTCAGAGTGTGAAAATTATGTAGTGTTATAAGTAATGAAGTTTTCTTAATAAAAAAAAAGACTTTTGTATAAAATTTTCATATAGATTAAGGACATTATTTTTCTCATTCATGGCAAATAGTTGAACATTTAAAATATAAGCAATATTTATTGAAATTTAAAATTTGTTCACGAATTTTTAGTTGGGGAAAAAATGTCGTGTTTGAATTGAAACATTTGGTACGAAATAATCTAAGCATACAAATCGTACAGTCGAGTGTCACTAAGGAGGATATGTGTAATTTTGATTTACACATTATTAATAACTAATAAATTTTTAAACCTGAGATTAGAGTTTTCTTATCTAAATGTCTAGAATACGCCGAATACCATCTATCTGTCTAATTATTTAAAAGAATATTACATTGTTCTTAAACCAACTTAGTCGGTTATTGCATATAACTACAGATAATAAAATCATTGTTTTTAATTAACACTTATCTTAATTAAATATCAAAATTAGCGGCTGAAAATCAAATAAACCACATTTTTTTAATGTTTACAAAAAATATTTTATTTTTTCGAGTTTTTTTTTTAACAAATGCAACATTAGTACTTTTAAAAAGATTCTTTACAAACAAACCCAAAACGGCAAGTCATTCTAAACAAAACAAATGAACTTTTAACTTAACTTAAAAAACTACTTTTCCTGAGTCTTAACTTCACCATTGGCCATACCAAAGTAAGCTTTGGTAGCCATATTAACAAATAAACCAGTCTCCACAACACCAGGAATCAGCAATAAATCCTTATTGACTTCCGACCAATTGAACTCTTGTTCTTGAGGGAAATGCCAGTCCAAAATGAAATTACCATTATCGGTGACACAGGGACCGGCCTTAGCAACAGCCATGCGTAATTTCAACTCACCACCGAACATTTTCTGTACCTTTTCTCTGATGGGCACATAAGCCATAGGCACCACCTCAATGGGTACACCCTTTTTGTATTGTTCTCCCAATTTCTGAGAGTTTTTAGTGTAATCGGCAATAATAATAAGTTTTTCAGCACAGGAAGCTACAATTTTCTCTTGCAGCAAACAGCCACCGCCGCCTTTAATCAAAACCATATCTTTGTCCACCTCATCGGCACCATCAATAGCTACATCCAAGAGAGGATTACGATCTAAGTCGCCCAATGTCAAATTGTTTTCAACAATAAGTTGGCGGGCTTGGAAGCTGGTGGGTACACACACTACTTGTAGACCTTCATTTTTAACACGTTCTGCTAGACGATCGACAGCAAATACTACAGTAGAACCACTACCAATGCCTACGGCTGTGTTGGTCTTGACCCATTCATCTACAGCTTGATAAGCAGCAATACGCTTGGCTTCGTTTAGTGACATGTTTGTAGAGCTAGTGGTGGTGATAGATTGTCTTGTTGGGAATTCACGTGTTTTTTGTAGTGCGCCGAGCGTCAAACGTTTGTTTATGCAGACCGAGAAGTGTTTACTAAAAACGCGTAACGACATGTGTTTTTAATTGAAAACTTTTTGTTAATTTTTTTCAAGTTTGCTAATTTTATACAAGAACAAAACAAAAGTAACCGGTCTTATCACGCAACAGTGTTGGCATAGTACTTTTATAACAAAATGGTACTTTTTGTAGATTTCAAAATCTAATCAAAATTAGTATATCATAAGTTTTTTTGGAAATGTCTTTCTAAATAACATATGAAATTCTAAGAAAAACTTTAATGCTTATGTTCACCTAAAGTAAAAACGAGTTTTTTGTTTACAATTCATAAAAAATAAAGTACCAAACAGATTTTATAACATCTATCACTGTACGCATAAAAAAAACTTATATGTGATAAGGCAGTTAGTTCTGTAAATAATTGCAGTAGTATAATAGCTTAAAACAGTTGCTTCGACAATAAAGCAGTTCACCGAGAGTTGCCCTCCTGTTAAATGAATTGAATGACTGTTAAATTTGAAAAATCTTAATGGAAGTAAAACTACAAAACGCTGAATATTACGATACACAATAAGCTTTTCTGAATTTATCTTTCTATAGACTAGACAACTAGATTAGAGACTAAAATATAGACTAACTATTTACTGTAGACTAAACTATAGACTAGACTATAGACTAGACTATAGACTAGACGATAGACTAGACTATCGACTAGGACTATAGACTAGACTATAGACTAGACTATAGACTAGGACTAGACTATAGACTAGACTATAGACTAGACTATAGACTAGACTATAGACTAGACTATAGACTAGGACTAACTAACTATAGACTAGACTATGACTAGACTATAGACTAGACTATAGACTAGACTATAGACTAGACTATAGACTAGACTATAGACTAGACTATAGACTAGACTATAGACTAGACTAGACTATAGACTGGACTATAGACTAGAGAGACTAGGCTATAGACTAGACTATAGACTAGACTATAGACTAGACTATAGACTAGACTATAGACTAGACTATAGACTAGACTATAGACTAGACTATAGACTAGACTATAGACTAGACTATAGACTAACTAGACTATAGACTAGACTATAGACTAGACTATAGACTAGACTATAGACTAGACTATAGACTAGACTATAGACTAGACTATAGACTAGAGACTAGGCTATAGACTAGAGACTAGACTATAGACTAGACTATAGACTAGACTATAGACTAGACTATAGACTAGACTATAGACTAGACTATAGACTAGACTATAGACTAGACTATAGACTAGATAGACTATAGACTAGACTAGACTATAGACTAGACTAGACTATAGACTAGACTATAGACTAGACTATAGACTAGACTATAGACTAGACTATAGACTAGACTAGACTATAGACTAGACTATAGACTAGACTAAAGACTAGACTATAGACTAGACTATAGACTAGACTATAGACTAGACTATAGACTAGACTATAGACTAGACTATAGACTAGACTATAGACTAGACTATAGACTAGACTATAGACTAGACTATAGACTAGACTATAGACTAGACTATAGACTAGACTATAGACTAGACTATAGACGACTATAGACTAGACTATAGACTACACTATAGACTAGACTATAGACTAGACTATAGACTAGACTATAGACTAGACTATAGACTAGACTATAGACTAGACTATAGACTAGACTATAGACTAACTATAGACTAGACTATAGACTAGACTAGACTATAGACTAGACTATAGACTAGACTAGACTAGACTAGACTAGACTAGACTATAGACTAGACTATAGACTAGACTATAGACTAGACTATAGACTAGACTATAGACTAGACTATAGACTAGACTATAGACTAGACTATAGACTAGACTATAGACTAGACTATAGACTAGACTATAGACTAGACTATAGACTAGACTATAGACTAGACTATAGACTAGACTAGACTATAGACTAGACTATAGACTAGACTAAAGACTAGACTATAGACTAGACTATAGACTAGACTATAGACTAGACTATAGACTAGACTATAGATAGACTATAGACTAGACTATAGACTAGACTATAGACTAGACTATAGACTAGACTATAGACTAGACTATAGACTAGACTATAGACAGACTATAGACTAGACTATAGACTAGACTATAGACTAGACTATAGACTAGACTATAGACTACACTATAGACTAGACTATAGACTAGACTATAGACTAGACTATAGACTAGACTATAGACTAGACTATAGACTAGACTATAGACTAGACTATAGACTAGACTATAGACTAGACTAGACTAGACTATAGACTAGACTATAGACTAGACTATAGACTAGACTATAGACTAGACTATAGACTAGACTATAGACTAGACTATAGACTAGACTATAGACTAGACTATAGACTAGACTATAGACTAGACTATAGACTAGACTATAGACTAGACTATAGACTAGACTATAGACTAGACTATAGACTAGACTATAGACTAGACTATAGACTAGACTATAGACTAGACTATAGACTAGACTATAGACTAGACTATAGACTAGACTATAGACTAGACTATAGACTAGACTATAGACTAGACTATAGACTAGACTATAGACTAGACTATAGACTAGACTATAGACTAGACTATAGACTAGACTATAGACTAGACTATAGACTAGACTATAGACTAGACTATAGACTAGACTATAGACTAGACTATAGACTAGACTATAGACTAGACTATAGACTAGACTATAGACTAGACTATAGACTAGACTATAGACTAGACTATATTCTATTAACTACACTATAGTGTATATGTATATATATTGTATACAATATGAGTCGTTCGCAAAAATTACTGAAATAAATACAACAGTACTGAAATGTCCATCCCTGTTTCACGCTAGGGTACATCACTCCCCCCTTAATGTTTTTATTACGACATAGAACTGGCAAATTATCGATATTAATTTAAAAGCAAAATTTTAATATTTAATTGCTTATACAATTTTCAAAATTAATGACACTGAGCGATAATATTAAAACAAGCGAGTAAATAGACAAATTTAGTCGTGTATGCCGAATCCGTATTGCAGGTGCTTTATGTTAGTGATATTCGGAAATTACTCTATATACATAAGAGGTAGATTTCATAATAGATCGATTTTCTCAGGATTAGTTACAGTAAGTATAAAATTTATCACAATACTACTTAATAAGTATTAATATGAGAGTTATGAGCTTTATGGACCATTGTATATTTTTTAGATTCTGGGCAAATCGTTAAACTTAATGATAGGCGTATGATCACTCACTCGGACAGAATATTGTAAAAATGTTGACGAAATTTCTCCGCATATTTTGCCTATTATCGATAATTAAAAACTCACATGAGGTAAGTGTAAAAATATTTATAGAACAAAAACAAATAAATATACTTTTATATATAAGGTTTCCTCCAGACGTTACAATTTCGTAATAAACAATGTCACCTGTCGACCACTTGCTAAAAGTCTTAAACATTTTGAATGTGACTTGGAAAAATTAGCGACAAATCATTATGCATATAGCGGTAAATTTATATTTAATAAAATAATGCATAATAATTTTTTCGTACGATATTTCATTGATATCTCACCAATTGGTAAGAAAATTTAATACATTTTATCGATATTAA